TTCTGTTAGGTTGCTATGAAACTTTTTATTGCTGGCGGGGAAGAACATTACTCTAAGGCTGCCTTAAAGCTGTTGCCCCTTACGCAAAGGGTTAGTGGTAATTTGAACCTTTGTAGGGTACTTAACTCATTGCTCCAAAAGTTGGAGAGATAATTTTTTTTGTTTAATTAAAAAATAGAGGAGGATGAAGTAATTGTTTAAAAATTGTTTTTAATCAAATACTGCATTTTTCTTTTAATCTTATCAGGTTTACCTTATTCAGTAATACTTCTAGTGTATTTGCTCTCCTGCTTAATGTACACGTAATCTTCTCCCTGAGTTCCTGGGATGGAAAGATGAGAAGAATCATCTTTTATCTGTTTTTTTCACATAGCCCTGTTTGCCACATTGCTTCCCTCACTGCTTGGAAAAGGGCACCAACCTGTTCAGGTGGCTGAAGCTAGGGATGTTGATAAAGCTGGGCAGGTTAATTGAAATGGACACGAGCATAACGTCTTTCTTCAGAGACTGACGCACCTGGTTTCAGATAATGTAGAGGTACTGCTTTCACTTGGAGTGACAAGTCACCTTGTGGAGTTTGTGTTAGCTTGTTTTGAGCTGCTGATGCAAGTAATAGGAGAAGAGTACATTTAAGGAAATGTTACTTCATTGCTATGGAAATGAAATACGGAAAGACAAAGTATCTCTGGGTTATTTGCTTGTTGCAGTCAGATTTCAGCTGAAATCTGACTCAGATGCTTTGCAAGGGATGATGTGAATGGCTGTTTATCAAAATTGACTTCCTTTTCAGATTTTGAAAAAATGTGAAAATTAAAATATTTGAAATAAAATAGAAATACATAGGCTTAATGCCTTTGAATGTTCAGTGATTACTAAAACCAAACAAAATATTTAATGGTTTTTCATACTGTATCAATAAAAATAAGACGTTAAAGGCATGCCATACAATTTTTAATGTTCAGGGAAGTTAATAGGTTTGTTTTATCCCAATGATCTACGTATCTTTTTGTCCTAAAGAGCTAGATTTTATGTAGAAAACCCTACAACTTGAAACTATCTAAGGCTCTTTTTGCTATCTAGTGAATAGTGAAGTGCTTTAGGTTTTGCTTTTAAGGGATCAGCATTATTGTTTTAAATGTGCAGTCAAGACCATTTCTCACTAGTAAATCTAATTCAGTCACAATTACTTGGCTCTTCTTTTTACTATTTTAAGCCATAGTACTTCAGGATTATGCCTTTAGTTCTAGAGTTCGAATTAGGTGCTTCAAGCTGATCCTGTTATAGGTGTCATGTTGTTATTCATGTTTGCTTTTATTGATTCTCACTTCATTTGTCTCATCATAGTCCATTGGTAGCAGCATGATGCCTTTAATGCCGCAGTGGTATTTCAGCAGTTTTAGTAGGGTGTATTTTATGTTTTCAATCAGAGTGGCACACTGTTGCACTTTTAAATTAATTCGTCTACCCCAGATTGATACTAAAGAATTGATTTTGGAGTTTTTATTAATTATTATCTAAAATTGATTATTTTACAGGACCATTCTAATACATTTATTTTTTTGTGATGAAATAAAATTATTTATGGAACCAATGTGTTAGGCTATTTCAGAGTACCCTGAAAAATCTTATTAACAAGGAATAAGGCTAGATGTGCTTAGTGCGCTCTGGCTTCAGGGCACTTCTCAGCAGTCTGAGCTTTTTTGCTCTACTAAGACAGTATATTTTGTAGGCTATTTGGTAGAGTCTTAAAGCAGACTTAACTGTATTTCAGTAAAGTGGTATGTGTTAAAAATGGAATAGACATGCACATGGATGGAAGAAAGGGCCAATTTAATATTTTCATTTCAATACAAAATGCTATATTTTTAAATTTACTGTGAATTTAAGATTTTTTTTTGTTGTTAATTCTGTCTCTTCCGTAGTCTTATTTTTTTTTCAGTGTTTTGTTTGCTGTTTATGTCCTATATAAAAATGTAAGCAAATGAAATGGAATATATTGATCTGCCAATAGATTTTTAAAAAGTAGGAAAGAGCAATATGTCTTAGTAATGTTAATACATTTTTAGTTTATTAAAATCTGAGATGTTTTAATTTGAAAAATGCATCAGTGAAAGAGATGGAGAACAAGATGTCTAATTCATGGTATCCTGAATTAAATAAAAAAGAGGGAAGGAAAGGTTTGTCAAGTGATCATAGTCTTACAGATACAGATACAGATACAGGGACAGCTCTTGTGGTTGCTTCCTTTTGTGGTTGCAGGGCTTCCTCACCTTCACAGGTGCTGGTAAAGCCTGGGGTAACTATACATTTGCATAGGCAGTTTATGTTCCTCTGTCCTTGACCATAGTGCCTGTCAATGGAGGGAGTGCACCAGGGGACACTGTATAGCTTGGGAACTGGGATTACAGGTTCAAAAATAATCACGTGTTCTCATTGTTACGGGAGTTCCTTCATCTTTGTATGGCATTATTTTCCTTCTCCATCCTATGGATTAGTTTATTGGTCTATTTATTCTGTAGAAATGGGACTAAATAGCCCTGAAAGCCAAAGCTTCTTGTTCTGGGTGGGAGAAGCATGGTACTGATGTGACTGAAATCCCCTTTTGTCTGCTCTTAATGGAAAAGATGATTCTGTGTGACCCTTTCTGAACTCATTTTTGTTGTGCCTTGGGCTTTAATTAATTGATATGTGTCAGAAGTGAGTATAACTTAATTATAGGACATGAAAACAAGTTCCATCTTCAATAAATATCTTCCCCAGTTCTAGGTTTCCCAGAGCATCCTCTCTTTCTGCTGCTTTGAATGAAAACCTGTCAAGGCTGGGCTGTTTTTATGTAGTGACATTGCTAGACACATTGGTAGTACTAGTAAAGAAAGAGTAGAAATATCAAACTAGTACTGTTACTGCAGCATCCTGGTAAAATAAAAGCCTAGCAAGAGTAAATGGCAGCACTATGAAGTTACAGCCATTCTTACTTCCTATGCCATCTTCAGTGTGAATAACTTTTGAGTACACTACCTGTAGAGATTATTATTTCTCTTCCAAGAGATGGAAAACAAAGTTCAGATCGCCCACATCTAGAAATTACTGAGATCATCTTGCGCATTTACCTGGGAAATGAGAGCTAGCAGAATCTTCTACTTGTAAAATGTTCTGTGATCTTCAAGGTGCTTTGCTGTGTTTCAGAGTTGATAGGGGTGTGTTTGACATCCAGACAACAAAATCCTACTTTCTTTCAAAAGCTATGCAGTAATTTTATTAATCTGGAACTCAGTTTTAATTACTGAGCTAGCTGTGGTAATGTTTCTATCTTCAGCAGCAATAGCAGGACTTCTGTTGTAAGAATTTAAAGTTTCTTGGACACTTATTTCTAAACATAAACCAGCCCAGTGTGCATGTATCTTAAAAATATTGTAAGTCTCAGGGATTTTTGTTTCAAGCAATGATTTGTAAGAAATGAGTAGAAGTCATAGAAGTTTGGAATGACTAATTTGAGAAAATGGTACTTCCCCTCTAAAAGGTGATATTTAAGGTGCTTGAAAAACGTTTCCTCTGTCTTGCATGCAAAATCATAGTGTCCTACAGTTATGGACTTGGCTTGGTTTGTGTAGCCTCACTGACACCACCAAGACTGTAGTATCATGTGACAGCATGTGGTTTTTTTACTTGCCATAAATGAATGATGTCTTTGTCATGTTCCTGGTGGAGGGAGGGGAAAGAGAGTAAGGCAGAAGGAGAACCAAAGACTAATTACTGATAACATCTCAAAAAAAGAAAACCCCCTCCAAACTGAGCAACCAAACAAAACCCAACCAAAAAAACCCCAAACAACCCAAACCAAAAACACAACCCCCTCTCCCCCCCCCCCCCCCCCCAAAACCCCAACCCAAAGCGAAGTAACCCTTGAAGCAGGAAGCTCAAAACACCATGTAAAGCATGTGGACAGGGTACAAGCAGTGACAATGCTGTGCTGGGTGATGTGTGAAGATGAAGGAGGTGTACTTCAAAGATTTGTAAAACGTGTCTCCGTTCGTGTATTGTAAATACGGCTGTGGGCAGTGGTTCTCCTCTTATCATCCCTTTCTAAAACCTTTTATCTTCTTTTTCTCTAGTTCGTTACCTTGCAGCTATAGGAATCTTCATAGTAACAACTTGTATAATTATAAATCAATTAATTTAGTCTTTCTTTTTAGTTCTTTATTTGGTGGTTATTTAGTTACTGCTTAATTTATTTCATAGCCACTGGTGTGCACTGTGATCACTTTTTTTCTCATCCAGTTTGAAGTCTTAGCATATTCATGCATAGTGGACTCCAAGAGAAACCTCCTGTCTATTTCCCAATATTCTAAACAGAAAATTTAACAGCATAAACTAGGTTCCCCTGCTTATCTGCCGGGGCATAATGCTGGCAAATATTGCAAACATGTCTTATAAAGGATATTGTGGTTGTGTTTCAGACAGTATTGTTTATGTGGAGTGTGGGGAGGAGACAGTGTACTTTCATACAGATGCTTTTGTAGATCCATCTGCTTTGAGTATGGACAGTGCATTTTGACTGTCTGAAAAATGTTGAAGTAATGGTACTGCTTTTTATTCTAAGCTTATTTTAAATGCTTGTAAGTAGTCTTTATTCCTCCCATATAAGCATGAAGGGTATGCGTGCTTATCTCTATATTCATCAGAACAAATGATTTTCCTTAAAGCATTCAGAGCATTTTAAGTTACAGAAGCTGTTCTTATTTTGTTTCTCCTTGTCTTCCTCTGAGCTGTTACTATTAAAATGAAAGTACATTTACCTGTAATGGATGTGTATTGTTCCTACACCCATCTAAAGAGCCGTCTAAAGAGCCATATGCTTAATTACAAATGACTTGTTTATAACTTGAATATTTCTGGGCTGTGTTTTTGACTTACTGGCTGAGCTTAAACCATGGCAGTGTGTTAAAGGAATGCTTTATTTCTATCTATTTATTTATTTATGTATTTATTTATTTTAATAGGTAAAGATAGAGTTTTCAACACCCCCTTGTGTGAACAAGGAATTGTTGGCTTCGGTATTGGAATTGCTGTTACGGGTGCTACAGCCATTGCAGAAATTCAGTTTGCAGATTACATTTTTCCAGCATTTGATCAGGTTAGTACTAATAAATTTAAGAGAAGTAAAAAGAACTCTTGTGACTGCTTAAATTACTCTTCTGTTGGCATTAATACTTGGTTTGAATATGTAAGATTTGCAAATATATCCACAGCTGTATTACTAATATTTATGCATGCTTAAAGTAAACAGGAAGGTACCCAAGCCAGTTTGAAGGCTCGTTAAATAATGGAAATTAAAAATGTGGTTTGAAGCAAATGTCTCTTTGTTTTCATTTTTGGTTTTCTGGGTGTGTTGGCTTCAGCAGCTTTAAATTTGTCATCTGTGTCTTCCCAGCACCACCTCTCATTTCTCTATGCTGCTGCAGCTGGCCATGGGTCCACAAAACAAACTACAGATTTGAAGTGGACTGACTGACATTGTGGGAAGGGGGAAACAACTGGATTATATGGCAACTCTCTAGGCCTAGGCATCTAACTTGCACACACTCCATTATTGCTTCCTTTGCCTTGGAAATTGTTTGCCTTTCCACTGTCTTACAGGATTCCTTTGCTTCTAATTTGGTCCTTTGAATCACATGCATGGTGCAAATGATATAGCTGCATCTCATGTATTATAGAGGCTTAATGACACATAACTAAAGGTATTGGACTGAATATTACTTTTGTATATCAATCTTCCCAGATTGTTAATGAAGCAGCAAAATATCGTTACCGCTCCGGAGATCTGTTTAATTGTGGGAACCTCACCATCAGAGCTCCCTGGGGCTGCGTGGGTCATGGTGCACTATATCACTCTCAGAGTCCAGAAGCTTTTTTTGCTCATTGTCCTGGAATAAAGGTACAGTTACTCATATTTTATGAAGATTAACTTTGTTAGTTTGTTTTTTAATGGACCTGACTAACAGTGAGTCTGGGAGCAGGCAGGGAAAGAAGAGTGGAAGTGGAATTCCACACCAAAATATCTAAATATGTTAATTAAAAACTCTCAAGAAGTTTTCAAGTTATAAAATTTAAACTGTGTTAAGTGTTTGAGAATTTATAGCTATTATTGAAGTAATTTGTAGTAGATTTTAGTAGATGTAGTAGCATTTTGTGTTTGTGTGCTTTTTGCTGTAAAAGCATGCATTTTTAATCTGTGCCTAATATAGCACAGAAACTAAAAGCTAACATTAATAAATAGTACTTTCCTTTTTTTTTTCTTCATTTCTGCATTTGTCCTGTTAAGTGCATTAATAAGTGAATAATCAAATTCATTTATATGAATGACAGTGACTGGCAGTGGGCACAAACTGAAACACAGGAGATTCTGCCTGAACAATAAGGAAGCACGTGGCATAGGTTGCTCAGAGAGGTTGTGATATCTCTGTCCTTGGAGATATTCAGAAGTTTTCTGGGCAGCTGGCTCAGAGTGACCCTGCTTGAGCAGGAATGCTGGACTAGATGACCTCTGGGAGTCCCTGCCAACATCAACTGTTCTCCGATTCTCTTATAATAACTTTAGGGAGGCTTTATGTGCAAGATGGTGGCATCCCTTGAAGCTAAGATTCCTGGGAATTAGATGGATAACTTCGCTAGAGAAGAGGGAGGGGTGAGATCTTATAGTTTCATATTGAGAGCACTGTTTGCCAGCTCTCCATTTTTCTGGGTAAAATTTTGCCTATGGACTTGAACTTCTGGATTAACTGGCATCCAGTCCATTGAGAAATGACTCACAGCTTGATCAAAGTGGAAGACTTAAGCAAACCCAGTATTTGTATGGTGAAGACACATGTTCATTGTTTATCTGTTTAGACTATTATCTATATATGATTTTGGTATTCTAAAACTCCAGATATTAGTCATTTACAGGAAGGCCATAGATCTCCTACTTGTTTCTCTACTTAAATGAAACATCTTGTATTATTCATATTTCCTGATATTTGAGAAACAATGAATTTTTGTCTTCGGGTATTCTTTAGGGTCTCTGAGGTGTTCCTATTTTCATCTTGAAAATGTTTCCTGATATAGATAAACGCAGTTTACAATGTCTTTTGCCAGGTATTTGGATCAAATGGTTTCTTGAGCTTGTTTAAAAACTAGAGTAGTTTACCATCATATGGAAGCACAATATAACTTACATGATTAAGACACTGATGCCAGGTGTAGCTAACTTATTGTGATCTGAACCAAGTGCTGACATTTAGTGGTACACTCTGGTAAGTTAATTATTTAATTATCTAATTTATCTAATTCATAGTGAGCTAGCACTACTGTGCTTATTCTTCAAATAAGTTAACAAGTCAGAATTTTATTTAATCACTTAAGGTGATTTAATTTCTTTTCTCTCATGTCTGATCTTTTTCTTGTTGATTTTTCACTTTCTTTCACTTTTCCTTGGGTAAAGTGCTGAAATAGGTTGCTACCTGTAACATCTCTTTTAAAGGTAAAGGGTACATTAAATTCTGTGGAACTGATGGAATAATATAGAAGCCTAGAATAGTTAGGGTTGCAAAGGACCTTAAGATCATCTAGTTCCAACCCCCCTGCCATGGGCAGGGACACCTCACACTAAACCATGGCACCCAAGGCTCTGTTCAACCTGACCTTGAACACAGCCAGGGATGGAGCATTTATATGTTAGTTTTTGATGCATAGAGAAGTATTTCAGACTCTATCTTTTGAATTTTGTATCTTTGTCAAAATAATGTTGTTGCTTTAATATTTTTTGCACAGATGTTCATTTATGCAGTTAATGTTTAAGGCTTTATCTTCAAAGTTGCAGGTCTTTTTTTGAATGAATCCAAACCCAGCCCTTAATGTATGAATCCAAAAGTGCAAATGGACTTGTGGTTCAGATGCATTTGCAAAAGTCTCAATCTGTGCATATTTTCTCTGAATTACAGTAGGAAAGGTCATGTGTTGCAAGCTGGGAAAGGTAGGATTGACAATTTGGGAGAGAGGTTTTCAAAAGTGCCCTCTTTATTAAACTCTGACCTAAGATTTTTGTTTTTTTTTTTTGTTTTTTTTTTTTTTTTTCCTAAGGTGAAGTTTGGGTATTCCAAGCCAAAGGGAGTTTGTATAACTTTCAGTGCTCAGGGGCAGGACTGTAATCATTAGTACTTATGACAAGGCTTATCAGGGTGACAAGGACACTGCTAGGTGGTTGTATCTGTTGTGAGGATGTATGTCTTAATGAATCTGACTGATTTCCATAATCACTGTATTGACTCTCATCATTCTATTGTTCCCGAATATTTGCTGTCATGGCTGGAAGCTTTCTTTTAGTTTCCAGTCTAAATTTGTCCCTGACTAACTTGTATATTTAACTTCACTGTCTTTCATCTTCCTGTTCATATACTAAGAGAACAATTGTTTTCCCTTCAGTCTTTGTTTTATTGGACTAAGCAAGTCAAAATATCAGAGAGATGTTAACAATTTCTGAAGCTTTATTGGCACCTTTTTCAAATTTTCCTTCAAAACAGTTGATATAGTCATGAAGTATTCCAGCTGAGTTTCTAGTAGTAATTTTTGCAATAGTACTAACAATTCCCGGCCTATATTATTATGCTTTTTTTAGGGCTGCATGGCATAGTGTCCTAGTCATCCTTTGAGCAGATAATAAATTCAGATCTGAATTTCTACTGCTGTGTTCTAAATTTATAACAAAAATGCAGTCCTTAACTGTGTGACTTTTCAGTATGTGTTGTTCATTTGCCTTGTGCTTTCATCAGTCATGTCTTTTTGTTATGTCGTTACCACCCTCTGTAGTGGCTGTAGTGGTAGTGACTCGCAGCTTTTGAACAGTTTTCTTTGCCATGTTCTGACTTAACGTCATGAGTGAATAAGGTAAATAAAGTCTGTCCTAAAAATGATGCCTAAGGAGCTGCACTAGTAACATCCATGGGTAAATTCTCATGTGTCTTGATACCAAATACTTTGGTGAAATATTAATAGACTGCTTCTATCCCTTGTTTACAAAAATCATGTATCAAGTTAATTTGATGTGATAGCAGATTTAAGTTGTATTTTGACTCTTTTCTATTACTTTCCTGTAATTAAATGTTCTTACTCTCAAAAAATATTTTGAAGCCTTGGAAACTCCTGGAGGCAGTAAGTTATTGTGTCTAGTTACATGGGTTTATTTACTTTTTTTTGCTTTAAACATGTGCTACAAGTAATGCTTTTAGTCAGAGGAGGTCACTTGTAACTTCGCAGTTATAAAAAATGCTTGCTAGTAGCCTTATTGCTGTATGTCCCAGCTCTTGAAGATCTCTGAGATGTAAACTAGCTGGACCTTCTGATCTGAGGGAATAGAGTTCTTGGGTTCTATTTTCAGTTAAACTGTGATAAAATTTGGTAATTTTCTGTTCATAAGCAACATTCTGTTAGATCATCCAAAATTAACTCTTCTGTTGGCAAATAAATTATACTTGTCCTTCCAAGTATTCAGATTACATATGGAGGCCTTGCTTAGTTTTCTCTTTGTTTGATAATAGTTTAAGGCATTTTTTGGTATTTGTTTATTTCCGGAAATGAACATATTTCAGGCTTCCACCATAAGCAAAGGAAGTCAACTTTAAATAGCTGTTTATTTTTTAGTCTTTAAAATTTACCGGACTAAGTCTGGATATCTTCTAGGTCTGCTTTGATGAGTCTTTACCCAAGCAACTGAGGATAACTCAGCTGTTCTTTTTTGTTTTTTTTTTATGTCATGCATCTACCTTTATTTTACTAAACTAGCAATAATATGTATATGTATTTTAATCTGACCTACTTTCTTCTGTTCCTTCTACCTCAAAATGTGGTTGTTAAGATCCTAGTTCTACCTTACTGGAGGGGAGTCCGTTAGTATTTAAATCATGGTGTAGAGGGAACTATTCAAGGCTGATGAATGAATAAAATAAAATTCAAAATTCTGAGTGTACATCAGTAACATAGCACTGATGTTACTTCACTTTGCAAGAATAGCTCAATCTATACATAGGTTTGCATACAGCAAATAATTTTTTTTTTTTTTATTTTTACTTAAACGAGCTTGTAGCAGAATTTCAATTTAAAGAAACTATTTTAAAAATATTTTTACAGATTGTTATTCCAAGGAGTCCTCTTCAGGCCAAAGGACTGCTCCTGTCATGCATAGAGGACAAAAATCCATGCATATTCTTTGAACCTAAAATACTTTACAGAGCTGCAGGTAAAGGTTTATATATGTATTTTCCAATAAGCAACACTTTTTCTTATTTTTTGTGTTTTTCTAGCAGCTATATGTTGATAGTCACAGTTAAACTAATACTGTAGCAGAAGTCTTGTCTTGTTTATAGCTATGTTCGGGTGTTGGTTTTTTTAGAGGAATTATGAAAACTGATGAAGATATCTGAATTTGGCTGCAAGGATAAATTAACACTAACTGTGATTCGTACTCAGTTAACTTTGGAAGTAGAACACTCTGGCCGGTCTTGAGTTAAAAATAAAAAGAATACCCCCCCCCCCAATAGAACTAAAAGGCATTATTCCTTATGAAACTAATATAAATTTGACAGAAGTTAAACTGCCTTATTTTTTTTAACTTTAGATACTAAAATAAGTTTCTAGATCGGTTTTTAGTTTTCCAAAGGAATTGAGCATCTACATCACCGTTTTTGAAAAGTTAAATTTCTTTTAAATGCTTTCTAAAAATCTTCAAAATCTGCTCTGTTAGATTTTAATCTTATATGGAAGGAAGTGTGATTGCCATTATTTTTTTCATTTGTTTTAGTCATAGTGAACTTTATGGTTCAGAGAAGCTTTAACAGCTATGATTATGTGTTACATATAAGAATAGAGTAATTTATGATAATGCTTAAGTTGGTTGTAACAATCGGCTTGTTACTTCTTTGGACTAGAGAAATTTGACTGAGAACAGATAATGAATGAAAACAAATTTTGCATGTGGAGATAGGCAGAGTGATCTAAGCCATCACTTACCTTCAGTGCTTCTGTGCCTATACCTCTATATGCCAACTATGCTTGAATCTCTCAATTCAGTTTATAAATTGACTAAGCTGAGGGAAGGACGAAATGCTTGTATCTTACTTTGAACCTTTTAACATTGCTTTTCCATCAGTGCATCCATTTTTCTTAGTAAATTTATCATCTTCCTAGAGAAGAGATCTGAAGAATAACAAGGGAAAGAGAAAGCAGACCTCAAAGCTACATAGAAATAGCAGAATAACTTGGGAGCAAATTGGATATGTACTGGAGAAATTGCTAATTTACTTTTATATTTTCAAACAGGATCCAGAATACGTGTTAGCAATGTATTTTTAAAAGTGGATCTATTTTTGGTGTGGGGTTGTGTGATGTACCCAAAGAGTACTGCATCCCTTAATTTTTCAGTGTGTTTTGAGAGCTTACTGAAATTTAGCAATAAAGATGTCTGATCTTTCATTTAGATGAGGTAGTTGAGAAAATGAACTTGGGTCTTTGAGTCATGATAAAGAAAGAAAAAAAAAGTTCAAAATTCTTGTCTTTAAAACAACCGTTTCCCTTCTCCTTCTCCTGTTTTCCTTTGTTTTTATTTCCCCTTTCCGCCACCCCCCCCCACCCCCCCCCTCCCCCCCCCCCAGGATTTGCAAGTCACAAAACCAGACTGTGGAGTTAATAGAATGCTTGCTTTCATAGTGGAATGAATGGCTGCGCATCAGTATCACACAGCTTTTGGGAATATAGGGAGGTTTTTGTGTCTGAAGTTGTAAAGCAACTGCTGGAACATCTAGTGAACATAAATAAGTCTTGTGATTGAAATCTGGAGTGAAGACGTGCTGAAATAATGGCTAATGTGGTTTATGTGCTGGTCAATGACCAACCGCAGTGTTGATGTGAGATGATGTTGGTAGTTTCTGAAGGACTGTAATTTCCTCCTATGTTCCAATGGCCTGGTCATCAGAGACATTATCTACGTTTTTGTCTTAAAATTTCTAAGAACATCAATTTAGTGATGTAGGCTGAAATTTATCCTACGTTTGTGGCAACATGTGATGAGGGTTATCATGACAGGTGGCTTCTTTTTTGGATATTAATACTATGACATAAACCTCTACCCGAGATTTGGGACCTCATTGGTCCAGGGGAAAAAAATAAAAATCATTATTTCCATGACGATGGCTAAGGCACTGAATAATGGAATTATATTGACCCTACCATAAACTTTATTCTAGCTTCAAGGGGACAGAGAACTTTATGACTAATGTTACAGTAGGTGTGTAGGAACTTCACTGAAAAATTAAGGTGTCAAAGATAATAATGGGAAGTAGTTTTTTCTGTCTGTAAAATTAATGTAGGCATTTGAGCTTCATCATTCTCCTCTAATGGAATTTTCTTTCTCCCTATGAGGCCTCTAAATAGCTATTGATGATATTTTGTTCACAGCTGTTAGTATCTTTGAAAGTTTAGCTGAAAATAGGCTATAGCTGGGATAGTCTTAAAAACACAGGATAACTGTCCTTGTTCATGTGGGTTGAAGCTACTAATGCTCTGTTTAAAACAAATAAAACAAACAAAAAAAATAATCAAAACTGACATCGCTTCCCACCACACCCCAACCAACCAAAAAGTGATACCTTCGATTTCTCCCGCAAAGTATTGCTGTTATTGTTGAAATTAGATGCTGGATGCTAGTGATGGAGGATAATATGCATCTAGCTTAGGATGTATAACCTGAAGTTACTTTTTGAGACTGATAAGCAGGGTGCCAGGTCAGGAGCTATGTAGGCTCACCATGTGCTCTCATTTTTTTTTGTGGTAGATTTTTTGGGGGGGGGGGGGTGGGGTGTTTTTTTTTTTTGTTTTTTTCCTAAGATTTAAGTATGCTTGTACAGAAAAAGAATGTTCAGAAGTGTTTTGAAACATAAGTCTGGTCTCCAAGGTAAATCAGATCTGTAGCACAAAATATTTCAGTGTGACTATCACATGGATGTTCTGATAGCTTGCTGTTTTTCTTGAATAATGAATTTAGCTGGATGTCTTCCAAAATGCGTACTGATTTGCTTATTCAGACATGTTGTATGCTTATTCAGACATGATGTAAAACTAACCATGTTATTAAATGAACATTCATTTCCATATGAATATTTGTTATCCAAATGTACCTTTGCCAACAGAAGATTACAAGAATAAAATTAGGCCTTATACCTTCACCCTAGTCATCCCTGGAAGAAAAGTGGATACCTAAGTAGCATTGCCTCAAATTCGCTGCATTGACACTGTGATGAATAGAAGAGAAAAGGCAGCTTCTGAAGTGAAAAAAAACTTTCCAAGAACATTTTGAAGACATTTTCCAGTTCATTCAAAAGTGGCTCATACCTTAGATATGAGAGCTGTGGTAACAGTAAAAGGAGGGAGTGGACTTAAAGCTAAAATCTGAAACACTGCCTAGGTGTATGTTAATAGTAAGTTTTAGAAGTTACAGAAAACATTTATTTTGTTTAAATTAAATGCAGTTGATAAGTTTCATATTCTGCGTTAGCTCTGATGTGCAGCTGGTTTGAAATTGTCCCTGTATACAGATCTATGTGTTTACATATAGGTATATATATGTATGCAAGATATATGACAAAGCAATAATTAGATTGGAAAGAAAGTATATTTTGCATGTGTACTTGTAGCTAGTAGTTGCAGATTTCTTCTACCTATGCTCTGAAGCAGCACAGTGCTGCATCTGTGGCTAAGACACCCAGTGGCAGGACTGCCTATTTTTCTTGCGCAGTCACCCCCTTTACTAGCAGTTTGTTTAGCAGAGGATTTGCTGTTCCTCAATGTGCCTGGGCTCTTCTAACTCTGGTTATTTGCTCAGTTTTGGCAGTGCCACTGCTAGCTTTGTTGTACGTATGTGGGTGGGAATGACAGCGTTTTCTCTCCTGGACAGCTCTTGAGTGGAAGATCTTAGCCAGTCTAGCAGTACTGCATGGCTCCCACAGGAGACAAAACAACCTTTCACTTACTCATTCCAGTCATTGGTGGTAGCTGTTGTGTGGGATACATGCAGTTACTGCCCCTGTAGCTGGTGGCCAAGACCTCCACTTGCTCCTTTAGCTCACACCACAGGCCCAGGGTATCTGCAGTCTGCTTTGACTCCTGTTGCTGCTGGCCCAGTGTCTTGTCTTCTCATGCTGGTCTCACCAGCAGCTGGCATTTAGTCCTTGCAGCACACACCCCTGCACAGGATGGGATTTCAAAAGAAGCTAGCACTGACCACCATGACAAGGCACAGGTCTCAGCCAGACGTGCTGACTGGCCCCATTTTATGTGCAACTGGCTCCTTCTACAACCCTTTATTTCCCACCTTGCTCCTCCCCAGCCCCCTTCACATGCCTTCATCTGCTGGTGTAGTTCCACACAATCCCTTCCAACACCCTGAGCCCTCAGGTTTGTGTGCTTATCAGTTGCAAAGTCCTGATTTGCTCATAGTTACCTGATAGCTCTTCACTCACTGTTCCCAACCAGTTTGTTTCTTGCTTTTGTCTCTTTATCTTCAGGTTGATATTTTGTTTATAGCTTTTCCTTTTTCTTTATTATCACATTTGACAAGGACTTCTATCAGATAATCTTACTGAAAGAAACACTCCCACATTCCCCATATCCTTATTAATAAGTGAGACCGAGCAGGTTTGGTTCTTCTTACTGCCTCCCTCATTGTTTGTTGGCTCAGTTTGTGTCCCTGTGTAGTCTCCCTTATGTCTTCTTCCTCCTGCCATTATCCTCTTTTGCCCTCAAAAAATCCTTGTCCAGACATGCTTAAAGGAGCAGATGTTCTCTCCTTCCACGTAACCTTACAGTCATCATCAGAAGTTTTGTGTGTGTTGATTTGCCTTGTATAGAATTAGAAAGGAGAAAAGAAATACAAGCCTTTTCTGGGTAAAAATCCAGAGGTAAATATACAAGTACTCATATACAGAGAGAATTCTGTTGCTTGTTAAATTATGAGATTATAATGATATTGAAAGTGCTGTGGGGACATCCCCCTAAATGTCAGGGATGCTAAGAAAATAGCTGAATTAAAAAGAAAAAGGAGGCTTTGATTTATAAAAAGTAGATAACAGGCTGTGCAGTGTCAAGAACACATAATGATTATAAATCAAAGGAGAAGATGAGTCACCTTGACATTATCAGGTTCAGACATCTTGTGGAGAGCCTACTCTGATGTTTTTTGACCTTTTCAGTTTCATTTAATTGTACTATATATGACATTGGTGGTGTAGAAATAAATACGACTTGCATCAGTGGTTGTTATAGAGACAAGACAGGTAAGATGAGAAAACGTGTTTTCTCTCTGCTGTTCAGGCTGCTCTTTTAGAAAAAGCAACAGATGGTGCAGCCTCTTAACTTGTGATGGTCTTTTTTTTCTCTGATAATCACAGGTTTTCGTTAATTGCTTTGTTTGAAATCTGAATTGGAAGTATTTTATTTAAAATATTTTGTTTATATCTTCACTAATAAATTAATAGGCTGCTTTCTATATTAACATTGTTCTGGTTTGGTTAATTACAATGGAAGAATATGCATAGAATAATTTAATATGGTACTTTTCATCCTTATTATTGGAGTTTCGTAAAGCATTTGAATAAAATTCTCCCAAATCTGGATTAAATCAGTGTATTTTTTTTTGAATTTTGCAATTAAGATTATCAGGAATCCTAGGTTAGCTTATCCAATGGCCATCTTGTTGCAGAATATTTTAGCTATAGTAAGAAATCAGTTAAGTTATGTAATTTTATGTTATGTTTATTTCCATGTGTGGATAATACCATGACACAGGAAGGAGCTCTTTTTGTATTCATGTACACCTTCCAGTTTTTCCTCTGGAGCATCCCATTGGCGCTTCAAAACCTTTCTAGTCATGACAGTTGCCCGTGCTCCCACTCAAAGGTCGTGTGGCATCTTTATAAAAGGTTCTTTTTCTCTAGGTTTCAGGTAGATGACCATGAAAAAGACAATTATGCAAGGCCAGTTAGTACAGTTGTGCGTTTCATTACTTTCAGAATCACTACTTTCTTTTGTCTGAGGTTTTTTTGATGTGCAAAAAACCTTAGAAGCCTGGCTTCCTTTACTGCCAACCAGTAATGTGCAGTGAGCTAGGGCTGGATGTACCTTTCCACTCTTTCTTTCTCTGACCTATATTCCTTTAGCCGCTTGTTATTCAGATAAATTATTACAGGAAAACACTGATATTTTCATATATTAAAAATGCTAGCTTGCAAAGAGATCTGATTTTGTGCTATGCTTAAAAGCACCTTGAGTTTAATTTTTTTTTTCTTTTCTTGACATGTGTTGACTTATGCTGGAAAAAAAAAAAAAGAAAGGTTCCTGCTTTGCTTTTAGGAAGGATGATTTAGTTCATACGTACATCTCTTCTGTGTCTGTGCAGGTGAAGTGAGATATCTCTAACAGGCAAACTTTTTTACTGTGAGGGTGGTCAAACACAGGAACAGGTTGCCCAGGGTGGTTGTGGAGTCTCCAGCTGTGGAAGTACTCAAAACCCAGCTGGACGTGGGCCTGAGTGGCCATCTCTAGGTGACCTAAGGAGGGGCTTGGACTAGGTGATCGCCAGAGGTTGCTTTTTACCTCAGCTGTTCTATGAAGTTTGTAGCACTTATGCATCATTGCTGGCAAAAAACAAGCCAACCAACCAAAACTAAACATCTGTAATTACAATTAAAATAAATAAATAAAAAGATAAATATAATTACTTATTAGAAAGTTATGTTTATAATTTGTAAGCCAGGAGAAAAACTAGGTCATTCTACTTGTATTGGAACATTCATACCAGTGAAGGAAAAATACAAAACACTTAATTTCTCCTGATGGTATCATTCAGTAGGATTCTTTACCATAACTTCAAGAAGCAGTTTTGTTCAACAGGAAATCAATAGCTATTTTATGAACTATGAAATACGTTAACAAAAAAACACTAAAACAAAACCAGACCCTGCCTTCTTTATAAATTAGTTTTTTGTGTTTAGGGAGTTGAGTAAGATTCCCATACACTTATCATTACAACTTACTTTAAAAACTATTATTTGACTTTCTGGTGCAGAGACAAATTCACCATTAGATCAAAACAGTGTTTATTTTAAAATATTATATATGGATGCCTTTTATCACCATTTTAATCATTAAATCTGTCAATGTATACTGTGTAGGATCATTGCTTCAAAACAAGCACAACTGACCTAATGTGTTTCCACCTGAAAACAGGTAAATGGGTCTTGAGTGGAACCACCTTAATGTCTTTTTAAACACTCTCTCTTGTTGCGATGTATTTTTGGTGAATAGATAACTTTTTTTTTTCCAAAGCAAAAGTATTCAGACAAATTAAAACTGTAATCACAAGTTTTTGATGCCACTTTCTGTGTAGGTATTGAAAACTTTTTCCCTCTGTTGAGACATCAAACTGTGGAGCATCATTCTTTGCAGATATCAGGAGGGTGCTGGCACAACTTTTTCTTCTCATCTGATTATTGAAGTACACTTTCAAGGCTCTTTTGATGCCTATTAGAATTCACTGCAGTGATAACTTGAGATTTTTTGATCAATTGTCCATCTCCAAAACTGATGCTTATATTTTGGCTTGGGGCACACCAGGACTTACTATAATTTTTGCGTGTGTATATATATATCTTATTGCTGTGATAGCTAACATAAATTAAACACTAGAGAGAATGTGTTTTTAACAGTATAATTAAAAATCATGATTATAATGAAAAATCAGGGCAGTCAGGTGAAATTCCCAATGACTGGAAAAAGGGAAATATAACCCCCATTTTTAAGAAGGGGAAAATGGATGACCCAGGGAATTACAGACCAGTCAGTCTCACCTCTGTGCCTGGCAAAATCTTGGAGCAGATTCTCCTGGAAGGCATGCTAAGGCACATGAAAAACAACAAGGTGCTTGGTGACAGCCAGCATGGCTTCACTAAGGGGAAATCCTGCCTGACCAATCTGGTGGCCTTCTATGATGGGGCTACAGAACTGATGGACAGGGGTAGAGCAGTTGATGTCATCTACCTGGATTTCTGCAAAGTGTTTGACATTGTCCCGCATGACATCCTTGTCTCTAAATCGGAGAGACATCAATTTGACAGGTGGACCACTCGGTGAATAAAGAACTGACTGGATGGCTGCACACAAAGAGTTGTGGTCAATGGCTCAATGTCCAGCTGGAGACCAGTAACGAGCAGTGTCCCTCAGGGATTGGTGTTGGGACCGGTCTTGTTCAACATCTTTGTCGGTGACATGGACAGTGGGATTGAGTGCGCCCTCAGCAAGTTTGCTGATGACACCAAGCTGTGTGGTTTGATAATGCTGGAGAGAAGGGATGCCACCCAGAGGCACCTTGACATGCTTGTGAGGTGGGCTGATGCCAACCTCATGAAGTTTAACCATGCCAAGTACAAGGTCCTACACCTGGGTTGGAGCAATCCCAGACACAGCTACAGGCTGGGCAGAGAAGAGATTCAGAGCAGCCCTGCGGAGAAGGACTTGGGGGTGCTGGTCAATGAGAAAATGAGCATGAGCCAGCTTCAGTGTTTGCTCGCAGCCCAGATAGCGAATCGTATCCTGGGCTGCATCCAAAGTAGTGTGACCAGCAGGTTGAAGGACGTGATACTGCCCCTCTACTCTGCTCTTGTGAGACCTCACCTGGAGTATTGTGTGCAGTTCTGGTGTCCTCAACATAAAAAGGACATGGAACTGTTGGAACAAGTCCAGAGGAGGGACACGAGGATGATCAGGGGACTGGAGCACCTCCTGTGTGAAGACAGGCTGAGAAAGTTGGGGCTGTTCAGCCTGGAGAAGAGAAGGCTGCGTGGAGACCTCATAGCAGCCTTCCAGTATCTGAAGGGGGCCTATAGGGGTGCTGGGGATGGACTCTTCATTAGGGACTGTAGTGACAGGACAAGGTGTAATGGGTTAAAACTTAAACAGGGGAAGTTTAGATTGGATACAAGGAGAATTTCTTTCCTGTGAGGATGGTGAGGCACTGGAGTGGGTTGCCCAGGGAAGCTGTGAATGCTCTATCCCTGGCAGTGTTCAAGGCCGGGTTGGATGGAGCCTTGGTTTAGTGTGAGGTGTCCCTGCCCATGACAGGTGGGTTGGAACTAAATAATCTTAAGGTCCTTTCCAACCCTAACTCTTCTATGATTCTGAATACTTTGAATTACAGCAAAACCTTTGATGTAAAGGCTTATACCCAATGCGATATTTTTTAGATGGCATTAACATTAAATAAATTTTTTATTGTATATTTTTAGGGGATAATATGGAGTAGTAAAGGAATCTAATGCTTATTTCTCCCCTTGTTTTATTTTACTCAGTGGAACAAGTTCCTGTGGATCCCTACTACATTCCCCTGTCTCAAGCTGAGGTACTGCAGACAGGCAGTGATGTGACACTGGTTGCTTGGGGCACTCAGGTCAGTAAGGATCTTACAAGCTATTTGTCATCCAGCAAAGCCTATGCTAATTGTTAGGTGATGTTTGAATAATGTTGTATTTGGTCTCAGGTGCCAGATAATAAACTGCGTTCATCTTCCATCACTCTATGCTTGAATAAATGATTACCAGTGCTTATATTTATATGAAACCTGCTTTTTCTGATGTAAGATTTTATTTGGTTGTGGTTGAAGCTGACTCTGGAAATGCGGAAGAGGTACCTGTGCATGAGGTTAATGATTTATCCTTGATTCTGAAAGTGGTATGTTTAAAATGGGGCAGAGATATGACTCTGAGGAAGGCAATGGGAGAGTTCAAAGTAGTATGCTGAAAGAAAGTACAGATTTTTACTGTATGATTTAAAACAGCGCAGTCTGGGACTCCCTTTATATAAAGAGTTAAAATCCACTGAATATTTAATACAAATAGGGACTGATATAGTTTTGATTCAAATAGTTCAAATAGTTATATTTGAAAGCTGTTTAAGGACTGGAAAACCCTTGTTCCCCCCAACCCCCAAATTAAAATGTGCAAATATTGATAAATCTAGTAAGAAAATAAATGCTCTTTTTCAAGAATTGCAGAGAAAAAATTTGAGTCTAGTTTGCAATTAGCAATTTTTTATTGCCTTTAACCAATAATGAAGAAATTTTGTTTTCTTGGCCTATTTATATCTGAGAAGCTTTTAGAAGAGGGAGTATTATAACTTTTCATCATCACAAGGGTATTGACTTGATCGCTGGGTTGTGCCTTTTGTTTGTTGTTTTTTGTTAATTTTTTAAAAAATCTATATTCTTCAGTGCTTTTCTGTGATATTTTCCTTGTTCTCAGACTTCTTGATCTCTTTGTAATCTTCTATATCTGTTGTTGTTGCTGCTAGTCTTTGGCATTAAATTATGGAGTACTTCTTTACTTGTGCTTATTTCTCCAGCAGAAAGCAGTTTCTATAGTTCTCTGTGTTCCCTTTTGGAAGTGCAAATTTCTCGACATATGGGTGAATTCGTAACATTCAAAGTATTCCCAAAAATTTAATTGATAAAGTAATGGCTTTAAAGCTGGCTATGGAGATTTAAAAATTGAGTTTACCTAGTAGGCAGTAGTGCAGAGAGAACCTGGAGTGACATGCTTCAAAAGGATGGTGTGCTTTGGAGCTTGGAAAATATAGGCCAAGTGTTCAAAGAGGCGGTTCTTTTGATGTGAGTAGTAATAGGACAGATGTGCAGCCCTAATCCAACTTTGGGAGCTGACCAAACTGTGGGTGTGGCGGTATAATACAATACAGGGACAGATGCTTAGTGCATACACAGTAAACCAGCATATTCTGCATGTGTTGGGCTTCTGCAGATCAAATATATTCAGTGAGTTTGTGCTGAGTGTGTTTGCAGGCTGTGTACATAAACTTGGAACTTGATTGCTAAATGTGCAGCCAATCCAGAGTTTATTGTCAATGGGGTTAGTGATTGCAGGTACTCACTGGCTACTTCTTGTGTGATTTCAGACCTTAGGTAGTTGCTTGGCAGCTGTTGCTCTATTGGAATGGCCTGATGCTTGCTTTTCTGCGTGGTACTAATGAGGGGAGGGGCAGTAAAGGCTTTTAGTTCTTCTCTAGTTGTTCTCAGTCTTTTATTGTCATTAACTAAACCTTGTCCCCTGTGAAGTAGGCAAATATTCTCACTTACACTTCAGAGAAAAAGCAAAAATATGTGTCATGTTAAAAATTCTCAAATCCTTTTATTACAGCCGCAGAAGTATTAGGAGTTTAAACAAAACCCCTACTGCAAGTGATATGTCATTTTATTATTGCAATGCTTGAATTGATTTACCTTTAAAATAGCCCTTTAATGTTCAGTTAATCATATTTGTGTTTTGTGGATGCATATTTAGATACTTAATCATAGAATGTTTTGGGCTGTAAGGAACCTTAAAGATCATCTGGTTCCATCCCCCTGCCACAGGCAGGGACACCTTCCACTAGACCCAGGTTACTCAAAGCCCCAAGCAGCCTGGCCTTGACCAATGCCAGGGATGGGGCAGCCACAACTTCTCTGGGCAACCTGTGCCAGTGCCTCAGCACTCTCACAGTGAAGATTTTTTTGCTAATGACTAATCTAAATCTATAATTTTGCAGCATAAAACTATTCCCGTTGTCCTAAAAATCCTGTTTCAGCATAAATTTTTGCTCTGTGTAGAAATTAATACTTCTCTTTGACCATCAGACGCCTGACACTGTCTGACTGTGTCCATTCTGTTAAAATCTGTGGCCTTCCAGGTCAAGATGACCTCCATCCAAATTGCTTTTTGGGGACGGTCCTTGGCCTCCAACGTCTTATGTATGTGTAGAAGCTGCTCGATGTGGGTCATCTGCCTGAGTCCAAACCTGTATTATTAGATGTTCTAACACTGAGGAAAATACCAGTTTATTTACGCTATCATCTGGAAAAGTTCTTTTTTACCCCTATATCTCATGGGCAAATACTTTTTGCAGAGGTAATTGTGGAGGGTAATCTGAGTTGTTATAACAGTTGTTACTTTCCATGTTGCAGCATTTGCTTTCTAGTGTTTGTTTTAGGGAAGCCAATGTTTACAATATGTTTTGCTTTAAAGTGTATAACATAATGTCAGGGTACAATTTTAGATGTATGTAGTATTGCTTTCTCTTCTTTTCATATCATAATGTCTTATGAAAAGGGTGCTGATAGATGTGGGTTATTTTACATCTACATTGATGCACTTATGTACGCTGCTAAATGCATTCCTTGACTGGTGGATAGTAAACAACATATATTCTAATTCAGTACATGCCTCTTGCTAGAGGGGAATACTTTTTTGTTTTAGTAAAATGTTAATTATAATAGATAATGTAACATTTGTAATGTTGTTGTTAAACTGTGTTATTTATTAATTAAAAGACCAGTGAATGGCCATGTTGTCAAATTGCCATGTTATGACTGTAGGGGTTGTGACTGGATGTTTACAGCTAATTTTTTTTTATGTAGTACTTACTATCTCTCCTAACTTTTAATAACATAATGCTTTAGAGATGATCACTTGGTAATCTATTGCATTTTCAGTAGATTATAGTAAGTGCAGAATGCTTTTCTTGCAGGATTCCATGCTACTGCTACATAAAAATACATTGATATATCTGATATATCTGTGTCTTAGCTTAATTGCAGTCTTAAAAACCCCTTATCCTGAACCAGAGACTGACTAGAAATATAAAATAGTGATACTGATCACTGCAATATACTTTTCTAGATAGCAAGTTTTGTTTTCAGTGATTCTTCATTGAAGTTAGTTCTTGAAGTGCTCTTAAAATACTAGGAATAAGGAATAAATAAGAATGAACTAAATAATAAATGCTTATTAGATTACCAAATAAAAGCATTTGTGCTGCAAATGGAGGCATTGTGTTAAGTGATTGCTTGTATTCAGTATGCATAGCTGAGAAAATCTTAAACAAATGAAATGTTTACTTGGTGATAATACATTGCCTTTTCAGGTACATGTGATCAAAGAAGTGGCAGCAATGGCTCAAGAAAAGCTTGGTGTGTCCTGTGAAGTTATTGATCTGAGGACCATATTACCCTGGGATACAGAGACCATTTGCAAGGTAAGCAAATGATGCATGTTAATTTAAAAACACAACAAACCAAAAATCCCCATGAATAACAATTTAAATGTAAATAATGATGACCTTGTTCTTTAATTTTTTTTTAAAGGCCTACATTTTGTCCTCTTGTGTATGTTGGTCTGTATTGTCTGTTCTGAAGAGTAAGTACACATTATATGGACCAAATATTTGCTTTAGCATTGAAAGAGCATTATGTTTCAGGGTTCAAAATAGTGTTAGAAGACATTCTCTTTGCATTGAAATAAAGAGCAGGATTTAATCAGTCTTGTGCTTGAAAACTGCATTTCCACGATTTCTGGTTCTTTCTGAAATCTTTGCTGTTTTGGGTCTGAAGAGATCAAGTGAGATCTTTATATTTTATTCCCTGATGTTTTATACCAAACCTTTTTCTAGTTTTAGGTCTGTAATAATGTGCTTTAGTTTTGTTTATCCATATTTCACAAAACCCAACAACAGCAAAACCAAATTGGAGATCATTAAAGCAAATCCTTGTACCTGGAAAATTTGATTTGCCCCTTCCTGATTATTGTCTTTTTTTCTGTTTTCCTGAATTAGAATTAGGGTTTGGTGTTGTTTTTTTTTTTTTTTGGTGCATTTACAATCCCTATAATCTTCCTCCCCCCCTTAATTTTTCACTTACCCATGTGATGATGTACTTTTAACATTATAGCTATATGAATAAACTTAGATTTTGCAAAATAAATGTTAGTATTACTGCTTTGTGACCACTCTTATAGCTAGGTCTTTTCCGTAGCTACCTCATGAAAATTAGTCTCAAGTCTCTTCCATGAAAAGACTTTTTACCAAGCTACTTGAGAACTGTAGGAGAAGAAAAGCCACCTGGCTGCCATCCAGCAACACAAATGCTAGTGAACGTGATTTTGGACTGCGTTGCTCCAAAAGGTTCTGCAGGAGTTGTTGTCTCTGGTTATTTACGGCGTTAACAATTAGAGATTAGAGCATAGCCAAAGTTTTACTCCTTACTTTGTTAATGGCTCCCTTGATTTAAGCTTGGACAAGTTGTGTGGGTTAGCAGAATGCTTGCTGCTCCTGATGGAGCTGCAAGTTTCCTTCAGCTGGCAAATCCACAGTCCTACAGGAGTGCGACTAACAACTCATTGTGTCCTAATTCAGTCTCTGTACACTAGCTCATTTTATGCCGCCGATCAAATCACTTTGAAACTTGAGAGATGTTTGCAATTTGGTTAGTTAAGGCCTAGTAACTTTAGCATACTGAGGTAAAACAACATAGGTAATGGGATGACCAATGGGCTTGAAAAAGATGTGGTTTCATCAAATACCTTCTCTGCTTGCAGTTTATAATTTAAGACAAAAAGCTACAATATCTACTGCTAAATCGATTTCTACATATGTTTAAATAGGACAGACTAGACACACCTTACTGACACACTCTCTCTATGTAGAATATCTTGATCATATGTTTTGCCATTCTGTAGTTGCTCAGTAAGGGGCTTGCTCTTGGTAAGGTAAAGTATAAACAGATTAAGTGTGATAAAGGGAAAGATAAGCCATTGGTCTGCTACTCTATAGTAAGGCTTGTACTTCTCCATGGTATTAATTTTACTGTTATATTCGTCTGAGGGGCTGCCAGTCAGGCTAGATGGAGCAGATTATGGGAGGAAAGATCCATCTTGGGCGTCCACTATTGGCAACGTCTTATTGTCCGGTTATGGATGTGTAACAAATTGTGTACTTGCATACATAGCTATGTGTTGCCTCATATAAATCTGATCTTTTCAATTGAAGTGTTTTCAATGTTTGTTTGCAGTGTATTTCACATTACTTGGATGTACTAGTTGTAAAAATGCAATGTGTTCAGTTGTCATCAATAAGAAGAGAATCTTTGGCAGTAATAAATCCTTTATAATCCATTATGAAGAAGTAAAGTTATTCCTATTTTCTTTCTTTTTTTTAGCAGAGTTTTTTCCCACTCTGTAAAAATTTGAGTTGACATTCTATGAAAACAAAGTATCTCTTTGAAGAGCCATTAAGTCTGTTTTGTTGGACTGGACCTGCACTGAAATGCTGTCAGGAAAAAACACAGCTGTGCTTAGGTACTGCAGAGCTTTAGTTATACAATGTTTTGTAAATCTGTACATTAAAAATAGATATTCTGTGAAGACTTTCAGCTTATGTTCCATCCTGAACCTCTTTTAAGGTAACTGTGGCATAAATAGAATGATGGAACAGATAAACCTGTTGCTTTAAATCTGCTAATGAGTTTACTATTAAGAATTGTAAGAGAGTTATTTCAAGAGAAATAAAGTGCACATGGCTAGGCAGCTCTTCAATAATACCAGATAGTGAATGTTTTTAGCATTGATCTTATGTAAGTGTGTCTGCAGGCTGCCCAGTCTGGTGGGAAAAATGTTAAATTATCTACTTCTGTAGGTCTTGTATGTTTTTCTCAGTTGAAAATAATTAGTGTTTTGCATTTGGTACTATGCAACACTTAACTTTTAACCTAATTTGCCTCCTAGACAGCCAGCATAAATAGAAGGATGGAAACTATAGCTGTAGCTACTTGCTGTAGCCCCAGAGGAGCTGCTTGATGTAGCTGTTGCAGATGACAGTGGCTTATGGGTCAGCTCTGGTGATGGGACTTGTTATTTTCTTTCTGAGATGCCAATGTGAAAGACCAAGAGAGCAGTACAAAAGTTGGCCATGCCAGAGAAAGTGCTCTGCTCTCCATTGGTCTAGTTAAGTTCTTTTTGGGCCTCTTAAATGATAATGGGATTGCTTTTACTTTTGTCCAGCCAATAAGCAAATCATCAGCTGTTACAGGCTGTCCTTTGCCTTAGATGATTACTTATGTCAGCCTCCATAAATCTGAGGAAAAGTCTTTATGTTTTTCTTTGTCTTATATATATGTTTGAGATATATCTATCATCTCGTTATCCTCTGAATGCAGAGGAAAAGGATGGTTTGTGTGATACACTGCAACCTTATTGCTGTTCTGCTGGTGCTGGGGTGCATAGTCCTCTGCCGGTGGGAGTCTGTGCTGCAGTCTTGTCAGGGAGCAGGACTTGGGATTTTTACATAAAGATACATCTCTCAGTTTTGACAGCTGTGGTGTAGGCAAGAAGGAGGGTAGCCTGAAATGGTTAGGCCTTTGGAGCTGAGCAGTAATGTCCAAATTTTCACTGCAAATCTAACTGCTAAGCCTGCTGTCTGTAGCTGTTGCTATATAGAAAATTACATCATCAAAATAGTTATTTCATAAATTTGAGAAGTTATTATTTACAGCTGCCACCGAGGCCTCTTTAGCCAAGTTAATCAGCTGCTTTGTCTTTCCATTGCTCTTGTGTATTCATTAATGTATAGCTCTGAAACATAAATGTAAATAATAACTTATAGTGAACATAAATAAAAATGTATGCCTAATTTTAATAATATTTTCTTTGTGTTTTAAAGATTTTTGATATTATGCTTAGTTTTGAAATAGGTTAGCATTTGTCATCTGTGAGACAAGTAGATGAAGGTGCACCTCCTTGTAGCAGACTGCCATGGGCTTTGAATGGATTCCACGATTAACTAAAAACTTCTCACTGGTACAATTACCAGTGAGAAGTTACCGCTGAGACCCCGGATGAAGATAGGTCAACGGAGCGGTCTGCCTTAGTTGATGAGGAATGGGTTAAAGACCAGTTGAGCAATCTGGATATCCATAAATCCATGGGTCCAGATGGGATGCACCAGCGGGTGCTGAGGGAACTGGCTGAGGTCATTGCTAGACCGCTCTCCATCATCTTTACCAAGTCTTGGGAAACGGGAGAGGTGCCTGAGGACTGGAGGAAAGCAAATGTCACTCCTGTCTTCAAAAAGGGCAAGAAGGAGGACCCGGGTAACTATAGACCGGTTAGCCTCACCTCCGTGCCTGGGAAAGTGATGGAACACCTTATCCTTGGTGCCATCTTAAGGCATATCAAGGATAAGAGGGTTATGAGGGGCAGTCAACATGGCTTCACCAAGGGGAAGTCGTGCTTGACCAATCTTGTAGCCTTTTATGAGGAAATAACGCGGTGGATGGATGATGGTAGAGCGGTGGATGTGGTCTACCCTGACTTCAGCAAAGCGTTTGACACGGTCTCCCACAGCATCCTTGCGGCTAAATTGAGGAAGTGTGGTCTGGATGATCGGGTAGTGAGGTGGACTGTGAACTGGCTGAAGGAGAGAAGCCAGAGAGTTGTAGTCTATGGGGCGGAGTCTAGTTGGAGGCCTGTATCTAGTGGAGTGCCTCAAGGGTCGGTACTGGGACCAGTATTATTTAATATATTCATCAATGATTTAGATGAGGGAATTGAGTGTACTATCAGCAAGTTTGCTGATGACACTAAGCTGGGAGGGGTGGCCGACACGCCAGAAGGCTGTGCTGCCATCCAGAGGGACCTGGACAGGCTGGAGAGCTGGGCAGGGAATAACTTGATGAAATATAACAAGGGAAAGTGTAGAGTCCTGCATCTGGGCAGGAACAACCCCAGGTTCCAGTATAGGCTGGGGAACGACCTGTTAGAGAGCAGTGTAGGGGAGAGGGACCTGGGGGTCCTGGTGGACGACAGGGTGACCATGAGCCAACACTGTGCCCTTGTGGCCAAGAAGGCCAATGGCATCCTGGGTGTATTAGAAGGGGGGTGGTTAGTAGGTCGAGAGAGGTCCTCCTTCCCCTCTACTCTGCCCTGGTGAGACCTCATCTGGAATATTGTGTCCACTTCTGGGCCCCTCAGTTTAAGAAGGACAGGGACCTGCTGGAGAGAGTCCAGCGCAGGGCAACTAAGATGATTAAGGGAGTGGAGCATCTCCCTTATGAGGAAAGACTGAGGGAGCTGGGTCTCTATAGTTTGGAGAAGAGGAGATTGAGGGGTGACCTTATTAGTGTATATAAATATATAAAGGGGGAGTGTCACGAGGATGGAGCCAGGCTCTTCTCAGTGGCAAACAATGAAAGGACAAGGGGTAAT